ATTTGGTAAACTTTGGTCTTTTTTCATGTATTGATAACATGATTTATTTGGTTCTTTGTACTTATGTGGTTTATTTTGGTTATCTTGCTGTTTTTGTCGACATTCGGCAATGCTGTGTCCGTTTCTTTGGCAATAGTTACACCGTTTTTGAAAGATGGTTTACCTTTAAAATATGGTTTTTTTTTGTATATGTTCAAAATTTCAGTGATTTTTTCTGATAAATCTACGTCTGAATCGTGTATGTTGTTTATTTGTGTAGTATTTGTTTGGATTCTATTAACGTATTGTAGTTTAAGATTCTCTGTTTCTTCGAGTTTCATAGTGATTTCAGCCTGTTCTAATTTATCAACAAAATTTCTAAAATCTAAATCGGGTTCTCTAATTGAGGAGGGATGTGATGCTCTCTTTTTAATTGCTATTTTTCTTAATTGGGGTGTTAGAGTCATCATTAAAATTTCTGTCATTTTTGTGTTTTTTGTAATCATGAGTGTTCAGTGAATACAATTTACGAACTTATGTTTCGATTCTTACTGATAATTCGTTAGATTGTCAGTCTAATTGTTTCGTTTGGTAGTCTACGAGGTTCATTACATGAAACTTTTTGATGTTGTTTGTTTCTTTCAGAATCAAACATTTTTGAAAAATCTTGAGTGAATTTTTTCCAATCTGATTTTATATCTATAGGTAAAACTGAAAACCATTTTTGAGCTGCGCCATCAAGCGTGGTTTGTATTAACGCTGTGCGTCTTTGTATCCAGTTTTGATGAGGTGGTGTATTTACTGGTTCAAGTCCCCTAATTAAAATTAAATTTACTGTGACTGCATTTAAAGAATCTTCTACAGAATATTCAGGGTCTGTGCCTGTGAATACCAACAATGGTTTGTTTGATGTTATTGACGATCCACCCATTAGGCATGGATTCATAGTCATTTATAATGATTCTGTGGCAATTGGTATTTGCAAAAAATTTGTAAGATGATTTTTTGTTATTTCATGTTGCTGTAAATAATATGGTAGCGGGATTTCATTTTGCATTTATACTGGTTGATAGGAATTTGTACTGGCAGGGTTTTGTATCAGTATTGGTTGATAGGATTGTGTACTAGTTGGGTTTTGCATTTGCAATTGTTGATGAGTTTGTGTAGGAACTGAGTTTTGTTTTTTAAAATTTGTATTTTGAGATGCTAGATTTGGTCGATGTTGTAGTACACGGTATTCTTGTGTATATTGTGCAAAATATCTGTTTGATAGTAGTCATCATCATCTGATGATAAATAAATAGGTGTATTATAACGCGTTTGTTGTCTATTTCTGTTTTGTTGAAAAAATGGATAATTTTCACCTGTATCTTTTGAAATTTGTGGGTAGTCATGGAGAGTTACTGAATTTGATGATGGTTGTCGAAAATTTGATCTTTGTGAGAATAAATGATTTTGCGTGTTTGTACGGGAAGGTTGAGTTGTTTGTGGTCGATTGACATAACTATAATTGTGTTCTGTAAAATTATTTCTAGTGAAGGTTATTCGTTTTTGTGATGGTTTCGTCATTGGTCTATATGTTTGACAATCCATGTGTGAATACTTTGTAACACGGGAACGTTTAACCGTGGATTGTAATGTTTTTAGTTGTATTTTTGGATTTTTGGGTCTTGGCGTAGTAAGGTTTGGATGTATTGATCAAATACTTTGTTGTGTTGTTGTGGCTATTGTTTCAACTATTTCTTCATTCGCGAAATGGGATGGTGTTTGAATATCTTGTTGGGTAAGATTTCTAGTTCCATTTAGGTTTTTGTGGATTTCTGTTGTATTATAGTTGAGTTTAAAATAATATTTCCTATTCTATCAGGTAGAAATGAATTATAGTTTAAAGGTGTTGTGTCTTCTGTGAGGGGAATTACTTTTACGTAATCCTTGTGAATAGAAACAGTGTTAATGGCTTGACTTGAGATGTCTATTGCTATGTTCAAAAATAATGGATGAGACCATTCGGGGTCCCAAACATAATCTGATTGTTCTGCTAAAACAGTGTCGTCGTTTGTACTTTGGGGTCTGAAATTTTTTCTTGCTGGTGAAATTAAATCTATATTATGTGTAAAATAATCAATAATAAACCATGCTAATATTTTTTGTAGATCATGTTTAACATTTTGTGAGACTTCATTGCTTGATAAATTTTCACGGATTGCATTTAAAAATTCTGAAAATACTGCAATTTCATTTCTTACAGTCGTATGTAACTGTCGATGTTTGAACTGGTGAAGTACTTTGGATTTCTGTTTTTTCTAGTATAGATAGATAACTATATATTATTGAAAATACATCAGTAGTAATTATTGAATTCGCTCTCTGTGAGTTTTGATGATGTATGTTTTTTTTTTATGTACTCTGTGAATACTTTTGAAAATTCTATGTCGATGTCGTCTGTTTGAAGGAGGTATTTACCATGAAATTTACTTGGTGTACTGATTTCTATGGTATAAGTTCCATACTGTTGTGTTAGATTACATATACTTTATAAATAGTGATCGATAAATTGTCTTTTGATTTTTACTTCTGGAATATTTGTTTTACACGGGCTATTTCCTCTTTCAAATAAGTTTGTAATCAAGTTTTGGCAAAATTGTATTTGTCCTTCATCATCGGTTAGTGAATTGATGAGAAATGGAAAAACGGAGTTTTCGTCTTGACTCTCTTCACTTAGGTTCTTTTCTGCGTTTTATGACTGTTAATGCGTAGTGTTCAATGTGTTTGATTGGTTGATTTCAATTGTATAGACGTACTGCTTTGTTTTGTATGCCTGTTTTATTCTTCGTTTTCCTTGTATTGATGAATGTGATGTAGTTTCTGATTCAAAAAATTATAATTGATCATTGACTGGATATTTTTTATTTACGAAGTCTTTTAGTTTGTAAAGTTCATCTATGTCACTGATTTCTGATTCGGAGACCGCGTTTCTTTGTTTTGAAAATATTTTTTGTGTGTTTTGTGTTTGTTTACTTAAATTTTTTCGTTTTATTGTTTATCGTTTTGTTCGAATATATCCTGTTGTTGGTTTGTGTGGAGTGATTACGAGATCATATTTTTCGCTGTTTATTTCACAGTTGTGTAATACGATTGTTTGTTTATTTCCTAAATTGTCTAGTGACATAAAGTTTAGGATGATGGATGCAAGATTGTGATTAGTGATTTATAATGTCCTAATTTGTTAGTCCTTACAATTTTTTGTGGTTAGCCTAACTTGGGTCCTGTATTCAGGGTTGGAGAGAAAAGCATATATCGATTCCGGAGAATGATTGTTACTTTCTCGTGGCTAGTCTAAGTTAAGGTGTTAACTTACTTAATCTTACTTAGGGGTAGTGATTGTGTTCAAGGGTTGGAGAATAGTAAATCGATCCTTATGGTTCAGGTTTAATTAGAACGCAAGTAGTTCGTTAGATACTATTTTAAACTTACTAAGTTTAAGTATTAGCCTGGGTCAGATAAGAGGGGGGAATCAAGTGAAGGATGAATAACCGAAGTTCTACACTGTTTATCCTAATTAGAATAGTTAGGATGGTTGAAAAATTTCTATTAGTCCTGGGTCTAGGAAAGGGTTGGGTTGTGATACGACGTTTGTGGTCGTTAGACACTTTATTAATTAGGTGGGGGGAAACAAAATTGTTCTATTTGATCTAAGGATAAACCTTGATGATCAAGATATAAACTTAATGATAACAAATTAGTTAAAATAAGTGTGAAAAAGAGATCCAAGGGAAGCCTTGATGACCTGTTTTAAGTTTAAATGTATTTAATTAAGTTAAAAGTAAAAATTAGATAAGCCTTTTAGAAATATTTTTAAGTTTAACTGGTAGAAATGTTTAGTTTTTTATGATGTTAGTGGTTTTATGATTTGCTGTTATTTTAGGTGATGAAGCTGGAGATGACAAGATGATTTATATATACTAACACTTTGTGATCATTCGAACTAATTTTTTCAATTTTATTTTCAACAAGTAATTTTCATCAGATATATTTTTTAATTTTTACTGCAGTTTTGGAGGAAATCGTTAGAGGCGTTTTTATCAATCATTATTGTACAATAATAAATTTAGCGCCTGTAATAATCATTGAATATTTTTCTTCAAGGATTCTATGTTTGCAAATGAAAATCTAAATTCATTCCTAAAAAAATTCTAATTATAAAAGTTTGTGTTGGCTTTAGCCTTACAACCATGAAACTTAATGGTAGGTTTCTTTGTAGTAGTATATCGTCTCTTGCCCGAGGTCTTCTTCCAATAGCGGGTAGTTCATGTAATATTTTTGAAAATGTTTTTGTCTAATTCTAATCTATCTTGTTAGTTCTAAGCTAATTTGTTTTTAAGGTCTTATTCGAGACTTTTGGTCGCACCAGATGAGTTGAGTTCTTAAATCTAACTCATAGAGTAATTTCAGATAGGGTACACCGTCTGCTCGTCACGCTATCATATTTTCGGCCGGATAGATTCGTGCAACTTCTTAGTCTAATACCGATCTTAATCTTACTCTTATAAATGCTAGTCTCAATTAGTCTCAATAGATCTGAAGTATACTGGTTTATTGCGAGAAGGTCTCTGGAGAGGCAACTAAGTTCTAAGTTAAATTCAAATCTCTCTGGTGCTGAAATTACAAGTAATTTCAGCACTTACAAATAATTGGGTTGTTAGTTCGATGGAGTATGATTGGTTAGTTTTAAATATTTCATAACCAATAATAAAATCATAGTTCAGATCTGGTTCCACTTAACGCGGAAAAACCTACAATGCTTAATCAGCTATACTGACTGTACAGTTTAGCCAACTGAAAGTCTTACAGAAACTGAAAATGACTAGTGAGAATTTTTTTATGTTCCAATTAAATAAGAACATAAAGTTTAAATTAGAAACACGCATCACAAAAATTGACTTTAGAAAGAAAGTAATACAGCTGTTTTACTTTCTTACTTAAGTCAACTTTTGTATAATTCAACGCTTTTCTACATGAATTCACATGACCGTGTACACTGCTGCTGCTTCCAATTAAATTCATCAAAGTTTGATCAAAATGACAAAGAAAATTCATGTGAAAAACTGATTTTGGTGAAATGGTTCTCGAACCACCGTGGACCGTAAAAAACAAATTATAAAATATACAAGTTAAGGCAAATATTAAATAAAATTTATAGCCGAGTTCATTTTTAAACATCAATTTGAAGCTCGCGCAGATTGTCAAGCTGTCATTTGGCTAAACATAATTCATACAATTGACGACATTAAAATGCTTTGGTTATTATTTGTTACCTTAATTACCTATTTTTGATTTTTCTTTTAATTTATTAAACTTTAATCAGTCCTCATGTTTAACCTCAGAATTTCAGCATATTTTCCAATTTTCAATTGTGACTAGATCTTGTGACAAAAAACTAAACAAAATTGACTCAGATTTAGTTAACTCATCGCGAAAATGTTCAGCACGGAATATACTTTGGTGCTTTTAACACTACAGGTAACTATTTCATCAACACTTAAAGATGTCAAACCAGAGGCTAGACTGATCAAACATAACAAAAATTTTTGCGCGCTTCCCGGTTCGAGGTTTCGACTTTATGTTTGTACCGAAGTGGTGGAATCAGGATCTATTGTGCGACTAAAAACCCGAAGTCGTACAGGGCCAATAGTCGAACTGAGTCGAAATACTAAGTGGAACTGGATCAAAACAAAAACTTAACTGGGTCGAGATTTTAAGCCGAACAAAAAGTCGAAGCAAATAGTCGAATTGAAAATTTATATATGAAGTTGTTGTCGGAGTTTTGCTGACAAACTGTAATTAGATGCACATTGCAAAAAAAAATTTGTGTTTTTTGATGAGCAGTTAGCTAGTGCAACTTATTTGCTTATCATATATAGGATCGCCAGGAGAAAGCCTACATTTGGCTCAAAGTGAAAATATGCAACGTTTCTGAGCAACGACAAGAAAATCGTTGCCAGAAAAATTGTAAGCTGAGAAACATTGAAATCAAGCAAAAATCAATAATATGAAATTAAAATAATCAAAACATAGCCAGATAGCTAGTGGAAAAGATTGAAAGAACTCAAGGAAACAGAAGAAAATATAAAGTATGTTGAAAAAATTTACAATTTGTCTTTGTTTGTAAACGAAAAGTTAGTCGTTCAAAAGCTGAGGCCGCACAATGAGGTAATTCAGTGGATATGGGTCAAGTATCTGAGGAGGTTGAGAGAAACACATAGTCAAGAGAAGTGGTCATGGTCGAGCAATAACTCCAAACATACTTTTATCACGGTCAACTTTTAGTTGAGCTTTGACCTAGGCTAGTTCTTTAATGGCATTGTGAATTATAGTAGGCAAGAGTACGTATAGAGGTGGGAATGTAAACGAGTGTGGAAAACGGTTAATCGTACCATATCCTGGATATCTCAAGGAGAGAAAGAGAGAAATTGAAAGCCATTGATGGTTTGTTAGAGATTGAGCCGAATGAATGAAATTGCCTGTTTAGATGATTGAGTTTGTTTTTCGAAAATCATTTAAATGAAATGAGTTGGGAATAGATTTCTGTTAGGTTTCCGATGATGTCTGAGTAATGTATTTGACACGACCATATCTGGGCCCTTTTGCATATTGCAAAAAAAAATCAATTGTAAAGAATGCATGTCTGTTGTTGTCAGTAGTTGTTTTCGTAGTCAAAGAGTTGCCTCTAATCAACATCGAATTTGACGAGTCTGATGATGAGTCGCCTAGTTTCTACTGCTTCTCGTCCTGTTGTCATTGCTGTTGATTGGCGCTGGTTTGTCCCGATTCAGTCTACGAAACAAAAAGTTTTATAGCGGGTCTTGAAAGGTGTATATTGGTGGTCTGTACCTCACAAAAAACTTCCATTACATCTGATCCGATAAATGTGTGGAGTACCCAACCCAGTGGCCAAAGGCCGCGAGGCGTGAGGTCTCTGAGAACGCAGACTTGGTCTCCTTGTTGTAAGTTCTCGGCAGGCTTCGTCCATTTTCGTCATTGACTAAGCGTATTACGTTCACATCTGGGGTGGCTTTCTCATAGAGTAATTTTGCATAAGCTACACCGTCTGTTCGCCACGCTATCAATTTTCGAGCAGGTAGGGTTCGTAACAATTCTTCGTCTAATACCAATCCTAATAATCCTAATATCTGCTAGTCTCAATAGGTTAATGTAAACATGTATTTTTCTGAGGTTGAAACTCAAGAACTGTTCTTAGGAATAGAAACTGTTTGCAAGGTTATTTTTTTTTCTTCTGGCTGAAAATATATATTGTAAGTTTTAGTCATGGATCACCATTAATTAGCTCTAAGTATTTTACAGAGATAGATATCAAGAGTATAAAAGGATATATATTAAATACTTGTTTTGAACGAGACCTAACCATGCTTATAGTTACGTGTCGATTTCGTTAAGTAGAGTGAGACAACGTCCATTCTCAACTCGCCATTGTATAGCGAAATATGTTTGACTTCTTTTGTGAAGCGCCAAGTGATTTGGATTCGTA